GAACAAATAGCGGTAAGAACAAAATTGTCAGTTTTGATGTGAAGTTCCTTGAATAAATGGCCATGAGGAAATTGTGTACAAGTGAATAATCTCAACCCTGACTTTGAAATGCACAGAACTTTTTTTTTTGGACCAAATTTAAGGTACTGTGGGTGGCCTTGTTATTGTTAGCTTTTTAATATTAATATTATGATGTAGAAAAAATACAGTAAATTATTTGACTACTGGACCTTTGTCCAGTAGATTTGTTGTGGTGTATTTACTTTATGTAAAGGGGAGGTAGTGTGGGCCCTCTGTAACTATATACAACAGTTACTGTGTCATTTTGAATTTTTAGTTTTAGTAATTGGAGATCCCTGCCCATTGTGCAACCCTAGGCTTTACTATTATCAAATGACAGAAGAGAAATGCAGCACATGCCCAGGTTATGTACCATTGACTCACTTCGAAGTGGTTACGTGATTTAGAATTGGACCCAAAAAAAAGACCGGGGCCCAGTTGTTCAAAAGAGCGATTAGCACTAACCCAGGATTTTAACCCGCGTTTCTTTTTTCTTTTAATCAAAAGCATTTTGTCAGTTAATTTTCTCTTTTCTTTTTTAAGTATCAAATCACCAAATTGTAGACAAAACGAATTATTCAAATGAATTTGTTTTTAAAACTTTCATATCTGAATTCATATTTCGTACTAACCTTGGGTTATCTTAACCCAGCTTTGAACAACCCAGCCTGGAAGGATAAATGCTGCATGTTAATTTGTTTCACCGCATTAGTTTTTTTTTATTTATAGCTTTAAACTTTTCATGATCCAAGGCCAACTCAGAGCTCCTGTAACCCAGTGTTGGTCTGTTCATTTTTTTTATGGGGGGCTTTGTCGGGTGGGATTTGACTGGTAGCTCCTGTATATGAAGACCCTCTCTTCATCAGAATTTTTGTTGGGAAGCCACAACCCCGCTCCTTGTATCCCAAGATCAAATAACCAGGATTCAGGTGAATTTTAGCTAGCAAAAATGCTACGACTTTTTTGGATTGAATGGGTAGTACTTCATGAACAGTAAAACTCAAAATCAACATTAAAATCAGTGAAACTCAAACTCAGGGTTGCAAACAACAGAGTAAGAAAAATTAGCCTTTCATAAATTTGTCGGCTGAGTTAATGTTCAAATAAAATTGTGAGCAGTTTCACCATATTTTGTTGTAGTATTGGCTGTTGGGTTTTCAAAATGTGGTCATTTTTAGGAAGCCCACCATCGAGATGCGGTCATCTCTAGGTGGGCAGTCAAAACTACAACAAATACCGGTTAAATTAAAATTGTTGGTTTTAATTTGAATTAAGTTTGTTGGTTAAATGGCCATGAGGAAATTATGCACAAGTGAATAATCACAACCCTGAGTTTGAAATCCACAAAACTTTTTATTTTGGACCACATTTGATTTTTTAGTATGATGTACAAAAAATACAGTAAATGATCTGACTACTGGACCTTTGTCCAGTAGATTTGTTGTAGTGTATTTACTTGTATAATAAAGGGGAGGTAGTGTGGGCCCTCGATCTGTACGGTATAGAACAGTTACTGTGTGATTTTGAATTTCTAGTTCTAGTACTCGGACATCCTTGCCCGTTGTACGACCCTAGGCTTTATTATAATCAGATGACAGAAGAGGAATGCAACACATTCCCAGGTTGTGTACCATTGACTCACTTCAAAGTGGTTATGTGATTTAGAATTATTGGACGCTAAAAAAGACCGGGGCCCAGTTGTTCCAAAGACCGATTAGCACTAACCCAGGGTTAGATTTTAACCCGTGTTTCTTTTTCCTTTTAATCAAAAGCATTTTGTCAGATAATTTTCTCTTTTCTTTTTTACGTATCCAGTCACCAAATTGTAGACAAAAGGAATTTAAATCAATTTGTTTTTGAAACTTTCGTATCTGAATTCATATTTCGTACTAACCTTGGGTTATCTTAACCCAGCTTTGAACAACCCAGCCTGGGAGAATAAATGCTGCATGTTAATTTGTTTCACCGCCTTAGTTTTTTCTTTTCTAGCATGACGAGATTCATACGACTTTGAAATTCACCACAGGGAGGAAGTTTCAATTTCCGGTGTCCTTGTAAAAACCTAATTAGGATTCAATTAATAGCCGCTAATCTGTCATGACTTGTGTACTTTGCGTCACTGATGGAAAACGACCTGAGACGAAAGACAGATACTATTTTAGGTTCCTTTGTATCATCTTCAAATGGCTACCTATTATCATTTTAGCGCAAAAACGTTTTAAGGTCGACACTGATCCCTCGAGCATTTCATAAATTCTCAATAACTGCTAATGATGTGAAAGTGTAATTTTCATGGAGAATGTTGATGGAGATCACTATTTCTTAAGCCTGATCGCAAACAGTTCAATTCAGTCAGAGTTCAGTTTTTAAGTGTGGATCGTAGTGGATATTTTCAATTTTATCGAATCCATTTTAAGAAAACAGGAAAATTTATTTTGCCAAAGCCAGTGGCTATCAATTGTCGGTAAAAGTGAGTAAAATTTCATAAACCAAAAATTGATTTACAGATTAAAGCTTTATTTAATTTTGCACTGATTAGATCTGTGAAGATGATAGTGCATGTCCCGCATTAAGTAAAACAGTTTGGCCTTGCTGATGCAACAGAGCAGCGTAGCCTTTTTAGGCTGTGGCTCTGTGAGAATTTTATTCTCCGGGTGTCTCAGAGAGAACTAAAAACGCGCTTTTCAGATATTGTTTGTATCTCCGTCTAGCATTAAGTAAAACGGTTTGGCCTTCCTGATTCAACAGAGCAGCTTAGCCCTTTTTAGGCTGTGGCTCTGTGAGAATTTTATTCTCCGGTTGTCTCAGAGGGAACTAAAAACTCGCTTTTAGATATTGTTTAAATCTCTGTCCAGCATTTAAGAAAAACGTTTGGCCTTCCTGATTCAACAGAGCAGCTTAGCCTTTTTAGGCTGTGGTTCTGTGAGAATTTTATTCTCCGGGTGTCTCAGAGGGAACAAAAACCGCGCTTTCAGATATTGTTTTAATCTCTGTCCAGCATTAAGAAAAAACGTTTGGCCTTCCTGATTCAACAGAGCAGCTTAGCCTTTTTAGGCTGTGGCTCTGTGAGAATCTTATTCTCCGGGTGTCTCAGAGGGAACTAAAAACTCGCTTTTCACATATTTTTTGAATCCCCGTCTAGCATTAAGTAAAACAGTTTGGCCTTCCTGATTCAACAGAGCAGCTTAGCCTTTTTAGGCTGTGGCTCTGTGAGAATTTTATTCTCCGGGTGTCTCAGAGGGAACTAAAAACTCGCTTTTAGATATTGTTTGAATCTCTGTCCAGCATTAAGAAAAAACGTTTGGCCTTCCTGATGCAACAGAGCAGCTTAGCCTTTTTAGGCTGTGCATGGCTCTGTGAGAATTTTATTCTCCGGGTGTCTCAGAGGGAACTAAAAACTCGCTTTTAGATATTGTTTGAATCTCTGTCCAGCATTAAGAAAAAAACGTTTGGCCTTCCTGATTCAACAGAGCAGCTTAGCCTTTTTAGGCTGTGGTTCTGTGAGAATTTTATTCTCCGGGTGTCTCAGAGGGAACTAAAAACTCGCTTTTAGATATTGTTTGAATCTCTGTCCAGCATTAAGAAAAAACGTTTGGCCTTCCTGATGCAACAGAGCAGCTTAGCCTTTTTAGGCTGTGCATGGCTCTGTGAGAATTTTACTCTCCGGGTGTCTCAGAGGGAACTAAAAACTCGCTTTTAGATATTGTTTGAATCTCTGTCCAGCATTAAGAAAAAACGTTTGGCCTTCCTGATTCAACAGAGCAGCTTAGCCTTTTTAGGCTGTGGTTCTGTGAGAATTTTATTCTCCGGGTGTCTCAGAGGGAACTAAAAACTCGCTTTTCACATATTTTTTGAATCCCCGTCTAGCATTAAGTAAAACAGTTTGGCCTTCCTGATTCAACAGAGCAGCTTAGCCTTTTTAGGCTGTGGCTCTGTGAGAATTTATTCTCCGGGTGTCTCGGAGGGAACTAAAAACGCGCTTTTAGATATTGTTTTAATCTCTGTCCAGCATTAAGAAAAAAAGTTTGGCCTTCCTGATTCAACAGAGCAGCTTAGCCTGTTTAGGCTGTGGCCTTATGAGAATTTTATTCGCCAGGTATCTCAGAGGGAAGCTTTATTTTTTAGACATTATTTAAATATTGCAAAATTAATGTTTCGCTTACGTTTTTATTTAACCCCATCCAGATCCAGTGAGGCCTTTAAAACAGCGCGTCAATTTTAAAAGTTTTTTCATAAGGCAGTTTCTGTTTAGCGCTTAGTGTTAGTTCTGGCTTTGAAATGAAGATCCCATTAAAAAGCCTGGCATTCAGACATAAAATTAGGGAGATCTTGTAAGCATGAATTGAAATATATGAAATGCGGATGAAGGTATGAAAGTGAAAATGATCATCGCATTAAATTCGCAGCCTATTCGGTTGAAAAATAACCTAAAACATTTGGCAGCGTTATCGCAGAAAGTTAGAGGTAATATTATTTATTGTTGGGGAAAATACTCCGCGGCTTTAAATTAATAATTTCCACGATGTTTTAATTCCGGTAGTGTAGTAACCTTTTTGTTACGGCAGCTTCTAAAACGCACCTGAGAAAACCGCACAGTCTCTGTGAACTCTCACTTTAACTTGCGAGAGATGCAAAAAAAACACAATAGAGTGACATTACTTTCAAACCAAATTTACGGGTTAATGTTCAAATAAAATTGTGAGCAGTTTCACCATATTTTGTTGTAGTATTGGCTGTTGGGTTTTCAAAATGTGGTCATTTTTAGGAAGCCCACCATCGAGATGCGGTCATCTCTAGGTGGGCGGTCAAAACTACAGCAAATACCGGTTAAACGAAAATTGTTGGTATTAATTTGAATTAGGTTTGTTGGTTAAATGACCAGGAGGAAATTGTGTACAAGTGAATAATCACAACCCTGAGTTTGAAATCCACAAAACTTTTTATTTTGGACCAAGTTTGATTCGTTCTGTAAAAAGACTAACAGAAGAAATTTGTGACTGTAAAATTGTCAAAAAAAGTAACTGGTTTCTGATTCCTTTATATTAAAATGACAGTGCATATAAAACAGTTAACAGGAAAGATGCATGTAAGGGGTTGGACCTCTTGGCGGAGTCTCACAGCATGTACAAAATTTTATTGTAACAATGTAATGTTACAGTTGAGATTGGAAATTTACGTTAGTCACAAAACGAATCAAACATATAGGAAATGTCACATGCACATCACCTTTGACTGTCAGCAAATGTTATGCAGTTCACTATATTTGCTCCCTTTGCAAATATGGATAATTATGATACAAATGTTCAAATTTATGATACAGCCAAATGTGTAGAAATTTATTGTTTTTGCTCTTAAGGCAAATACGAGTAAACCACATGCAAAAGTGTTCTTTTGGTATCCTGGAAAAACAAGAGCAAACACCACTGCAAATTAGTGGTTTTGCAATATTTTGGCCTGCATTTGAACTACAGTGAAAACTGTCATTTTTGCCAAGGATGTAAATTTGAGTAAATTGGTAGAAATGTTGAAGATTTGCCCATGCTGCAAATATGTATCAAATTTGTATCAAACCATTACATTTACTTGACTTTTGCGTATCAATACCTATCTAGCAAATATATGAATTTGCCCACACTTTAGCCGACAGCGCAAATGTAATGCAAATTTTGAGCTCCAAATTTACCACATATTTGCACCTTTCGCAAACATTAGTAAATCCGTTTTTTCGTCCAGTGCGTCGCAAGGGAATTGCCTTACCTTTATCGTGCATAGGTCGAGCCTAAGATAGTGCTTTCATGGAGTCTTTATCGTGTGCAAAAGATCGTCCTTTGATCGAGCCTTTGGAGACTCGGAACGAACATAAATCTGCTAGAGGCTGTTCGGTGATCGTTTTTCGAAGATTGTTGTGTGATGCGGTCTATTCACACTACCTCTTTTGGTGCGTTTCGAGGATACAGTAAGAAATAATGGAATAGCCGACCCGTCGAAGTGTCGATCGCCCCCGTTTGTCCATTTTCTAAGCCGATACATTCACCTTAGAAAACGTCTTTTCAGTCAGAAGATAAGGAGGAAATATGACTGGGCTTAGATAAGTTCACAGACTGCAGGACCCTGCAGACTACAAATTGCATACCGGTTATCAACAAAACGAATTCCTTGCGAGCCTTAAATTTATCCTTAGTTTAATCCTGCATGTAGTAGGGTACACAACGAAGTTACAATACCTTACGAGTACATGTCTCTCTCTTCGCGCTTAAAATCATGCTTCATCGTGCTTAAATGGTGCCTCAAGGACAAAGGGAAGATGCATGAAATGCCAAAGAACGATAACCGAGCCTTGGTTTAAGGTTATGTATGTTGCATTGGAAATTTTCTCCATTTAAGATTACCTTCTAACGCTCAAGAGTAGTTGTTTATTTAATACCATGAAAATCATCGGTAAACTTTAAGCTAAGAAGAAATACCTGTATATATCTCTAAAAGCTTTGCAAATTTCGGTCAATACAGTTTTATTGTACAGGTCAGAGTGAGATCGAAGCGTTTAGTGAAAGCAGGACAAAATGACGTCTTTTAACTGCCTTACATCTCGTTGACAACAAATTTAAATCCGTCAGATCACAGCTTTACGCAGAAATTATTACTCGCTGCAATGTACATTGATTGCATAGCAACCGTTCTCAAAAACCCATTTTTCTTCCTTCCTCTTCCTTAGTTAACGGTGGTCACCAACATCGTGCGCATGGCCTTACAGTGTGTAAGGTGTTGCTGGAATAGATAACCATGTTTTTTGGTCCAAATGAAAGCGTATCCCAAAACCTCGAGGAACATATGAGACTATTTACTTGTTCCTCATTTTACTTTTAAAAAAGAATCGTGGTTCTCAGGATTTCTTGCTTTCTCCGAAACGTGCGCTATCATGCGTACTACGTCTTGCCTACACTACCTTTAACTGATCGAAAAGCAATCTCCGTCCACATGCATAACAGTTTCTACATAACGTAACATTCATATACTTGTGTTGGCCTCCCAGTTTCATTTATTTCTTTTTTTTCTTCAGCAGGTAATGTTCTGACGTTTATTAAGGAACCAAGTAACAGTATTTATGTTATAAGAGGAAATGATGCAATCTTTAAATGGCTCTATGAAGAGAAAAACAAGAATGTTGAGTTAAATTCTATCATCTGGAGCGTAGAAAACACAACTGATGGAAAAGAGTATGCTCTGATAATGGAACTTGCAAATGGCACCGTAACAGTCAGTTCTCAAATACCAGTGGCATACCTCAACAGAGTGGAGAAAATTGGTCAGGCCACCCTGGTGGTTAAGAAAGTAACATTTGGTGACTCTACAACGTTTTCTTGTTTGCTTAGATCAACAAGGGGATCATCTTTTGATACAAAAAGTCGCATTCAACTTATTGTCACAGGTACCTCTGTTTAATATCGAGTAAATAAAGGGCCTATACTAGCACTGCATGGTGAAACGGAAAAAGATCAGCCTGCGATCACTCGCTCCCTCTTCTCATGTATTTCTGAGACGGATTTTCGGCTAGTTACTACAGTTAAATGAGGTAAATGTACGAAGTACTCGTTTATCAATTTTTTTTCTTGAACGCTTTATCGCGCGTAGGTGATCAAGTTTCTCATTTAAATTCAGTTGACTGTAAAATGATAAACCCCTTATATTATTTTCATCTGAACAAACGATCAGGAGGTCTACCTTTATACCCGATATTTATTAACGCAAATTATAGAAACTATAGGGAGATGATTTCATTCCAATGCCACAGCTAAAGTAACGGCACCTTCTATTGTCTAAACCTCTCCAGAGGTTTTATTAACTTAATGAAGATGATGAAGATTATATGTTAACAGATGTTTTTGTTAAGCTAACTTTATCTTGTAAAAATATAAAAATTGGGCCTGAAAAAATATGGAGACTTTCCCTGCTTGGAGTAATGCGTAGAAATATGACGTGAAACTGAATACAAATCAGAGAAAAATTTGTGCACCTTGAAAAAAGATCGTTATGTCTAGGTCAGACCATCATCATTTGTGTTCCATGATGAGTACTAGGTTTTCAAAGAAAAAAATCACCTTTGTTTTGCTAAATCATGTGTTTGTTGTGCTGATCAGAGGCCCGTTTTAGATCAAGTGTGAGGTAAGAGTCGGTGTGTTAATAAACAACGAAACTGATTTGGCTTTAACAATTTATGTTCACTTACCAAATACAGAATAAGGGCTTCATGTCAACAATTTGGTTTGTTTATGGCATGAATTATGCTCAAAATTTCATTTTGCATCGCCTGAGAGGGGCATGAAGTATTTGTTCCAAAAATTCAATAAACCATAATGAGCCAAATTTGTCTCAACTGATTTTGTTAATTGGGTGACTAAAGTAAACAGTGGTATAGGTATGGAAGTTATGCAAGAAGGCAGGCGAATATACTAAAATTTTGAAAAATAGCAATGTTGGGTTATAATTTCAACAATAATTTTAACCAAACTCTAGCCCCAGGCTCCTCTCTGTGCAATACCTTGAGGGCAAAGTTACATGCATGAACTGAAATCTCTATTATAGTAAAGCTAATTTTCATGGTCAAATTCATTTGGCAGCACAATTTACCAGTGGGTCTTTTTTGGCACTTTCAAAATGCCCCCTTGAAGACTGGATTTTTGGTGCTCAATGGGAAAAAAATGAGACCCCCCCTGTAACTCCAAAACTAAACGTCAGAGAAGGGAGCCAAAGTGGCTTTTGAAATATCTCATCACACCCAACTTCTGTGCCAAGTTTCAGCGAAATCGGTTGGCCACAACTTTTGGTCCCTGGAGCACTTTCTCAAACAATGACACAAGCATGCGCCACTTCGAGCTTTATCAATGCGTGAAAGTAAACAGCTGGCAAAACCTTGGATCACAAAAGGGCTTCGAGAAGCTACAAAATTAAAAATGAGCTTTTTTACTCTGGCGGCAAAGAAAGATTCAAACTTTATAGAAATAAACGGTGCTGCTACTTAGTACTACTACTTTACTACTTTACTCGAATTAGTAAAAGAAATTATTATCATACCCATTTTGAACTAAACATTAATAACATAAAAAAAGGCTTGGAAAGGTATAAATATACTTATTAATCCAAAAAAAGGAATCTTTTGCTTTCAACCCAGTTTTCCAGGTGAAATAGAAGTTGAAATGAAGTCTCTTCCTCTAAAATAAAGCAACGGGCTTGTACTCCTCTCCTGTCAGAATTCTGAAATCTGCTAGTCAGCTTCATTCTAAGCCCCTGGCCACAATCATGAATTGCTGGTGTTCAGTGGCACGCCATTCAAAATAGATCAAAATAAAAATCAAAACCATTCGATAGATAAAGTCCAGAATCTGGGAAATGAAAGGAGGTAAATATACAAAGACCCTCGCCAAGAATTGGGTCGAAGGAGTTATTCGTATACGAGATAACAGAGGAAATGTTTTACCCCAATTTATAGAGCTTTGTATGGAGACGCCATACTGGAGCTCATCCGGATGAGTTCCAACATGGCGGACGGAAACCAACAGAAACATCTATTACCGAGTTTTGCTACGAAAGCGTGAATTTACTCCTAGAGGAACTCATAAACATTAAAGTAATAATTTTTCTAATACTTGAACTGTTTAGATAGCAAAATTCCTCAAAAAAAGACACTTTTTAAACCTAACTGACAGCTCTCTCGGCCATCATGTAAATGCTGCGTCACGCAAAAGCTTAGAAATTCACGCGAACTCTATTGCAAAACCAAGAAACCTTTTGAAGCGAAAATTTGTTTGAAAGTTAGTTTTCAGCTGCTCTAATACACCATGAAAGAAAAATCTCAGTAGGATGGATAGTTTTGTAGTTTGAATTTTAGTGACGTCATGTGAAAACAGAGTGGCATTTACCCTTCAAAGTTAAAGCTTGCTAAAGTTGTACCAGTTTTCAAGAGCGAGGATGAATTAGACCCAAATAACTACAGGTCAATTTCACTCCTGTCAATATTTAAGTGAGTCTTTGAGAAACTAATATACAATCGCTTAAAATTTTTCCTAGACTAACACAATTTATTGTTCCATTGTCAGTATGGCTTCCGGGGAAAATGCTCCACTCAGCATGCTCTTATTGATATTATTAACAGAATTCAGCTCAATAATGACAGGAAGCCTTTCTCTTGTGGTATATTTATAAACCTAAAGAAAGTTTTTTGACACCGTCAATCACTCAATCTTTTTGCAGAAACTTGAACATTACGGAATCCGAGGAGTCCTTAATAACTGGTTTCCTCTTATCTAAACGATCGATACTAAACTACTTTGGTTGGTCCCCATGTTTCTGAGAAGGAGCACTGTCTGTGTGGTGATCCGCAAGGATCAGTCTTAGGACTATTACTGTTCTTGTTGTACACAAATGTTATCTATAACTCTTCTGACCAAGAAAGTTTTTATTTATTTGCTGATAACACTAATCTACTTTATGCTGATAAGAACTTGAGATCACTCGAAATCACTCTTCATGAGGGGTTAAGGAGTATAGGCAACTGGCTTATGAAAAACAAGTTATCTCTTATTGCTAAAAAAAATCTCATTCCTTTATATTCAGACCCTACCAAAAGCGTATATATTACGACGTGAACATCAAAATCTTTGATTAAAGCGCAACCTCTCTTGTTTCCTTAGAAAGGAAAGAATATGTAACTTAGCTTGTGTCCTTATTGATTCAAAGTTATCTTAGCCGCATCATATCATATACATTTCTACCAAAATCAGCAAATCATTTGGCATCCTTGCAATACTAAGGCATTTTGTCCGTTCTTCCACTTTATTAAACATATATCGTTCTCTTATACAATCTTACTTGTCCTATGGTATAACCGTCTAGGGTCAAGCTGCTCCTACAAATTTGGAAAAAAATTTGATTCTACAAAAACGTGCGCTTCGTTTGATTCATTTCAAACCCTTTAGGTTCCAGGCAGTACCTTTGTTCAAATTATCTTATGTTCTTCCTGTTAATCTTCCTTATTTTAAGACAATCGGCCTCATTATGCACGATGTATTCAAAAATGTAACGCCTCTAAACGTTTCCAACTTGTTTACTTATTCTTTAAAAATACTTCATCATACTACACGATTTTCTGCGGCTGGCAATTTCTACCTTAAGCACTCGAGAAAGGACGATATGAAATACTCCTTTTCAAGAATTGGTGCAAAGATATGGAATAGTATTTCCGACAGTGATCGGGCTCCTACTAAATATAAATATGAGGATAGCTCACCGAGTCGGCTACTGGATATGGTGATACAGGAGGAAACTTATGTTGGCGTGCGTACTTTAGTTGATATATTTAGCAAATATTAAAATTTATAGTTTAATTTCATTCATTATAAAAACTACATGAGAAATTTCTGCTGTTTGTTTGGCTTAGAGCTGTGGTATTTCAGCTTGATTTGAAATACCGATATGTGAAAATTACAAACCTTTTGCGGGTAGTAGTATAAACAAATAATAGTATGATTTGTACATGATATTTGGCATAAATACCAGTGATATTTCAAAATTGTCTCAAATTTCACTCGTCTAACGGTTCGTGAAATTATGTATAACAATTTCGAAATATCACTCGTGGTATTAATGCCAAATATCACTACAAATCATGCTATTGCCTATACTAATTTGTTTTATTTACCTATTTACTCACTGTCTTGTTAATTCAATATGATGATGTTCGTGTATTTGTTTTCTTTACTGTTATGTTTCAACCCTATAATTGTAGCTTTTTATCCTTCCCGCCTCGATTTTAATTAGCTAGGCTATTTTGCGGGCAAGGATCAATTGTTATATGTACCCTAAGTGTTTAATAAACTTGAACTCTAGCTGTTCCGCCATTATTGTAGCTTAGCTTAGCTTGTCAAGACGGCGGAACAACAGACATGCTCTGCTAAGAAATTACCCACGAAATCTATAACTTCCCTACATGCATTGAGCTCTAACATCCTCCGTCAAACGATGCAACTAATATCTGTCGCTTTTTCCAGCAAATTGCGGGGAACCGATCCAACAATTACCAACGACATTGCCGGCGACATCTTAGGGGAAGCTTTTCTTCCTTAACGCAATTTAATACGTCATTATTACCGACTATTTTTTACTCTTCACAGAAGTACGTAATCTAAAGATCATAACGAATATAACTAAAGGGCGCACTTTCTCATTTCGGTAAAATGGTTCTAAGGCTTTACTGAGTTGTACTAAGATCATTGCTTCTCACTATTTGGATAAGACATCGCTGAGTTGCCCCCAGCATTATGTCGCCGTTACCCACTTATAGATCTAGGTTGCCTGTGTGGCGTGTGGCAGACGTTTGAAGAGCAAGAGAAGACGGGAATTTAAGGCACGCAAGAACAAGATGGCGACGCTTGCAAGCCGTAACTTTC